CCAAAATATCTTAAGACTGCCAGACCCTGGCTCTTTTATGAAGAGTACAGATAGTCTTCAAATTACAAGCATTTATTTAGCCACCATTCTATGTTACAGCAGCAATGGGGGGGGAAGATGGCTTGCCACCATTCCTCGCACTTAAGACCAGTCCTTTTACTTAGGACCATCAGAGCATCCTCACACTGACGTGATCAAAATCCAGATGCTGGGCCACTGGCGTGGATTTACCAACTGGGGTCATACGATCACCAGCTTCCCAGCCAGCTTCCCACAAGCAAAGTGACAGAGTGAAGTTGGATTCACTTAATGATGACGTGATTCACTTAACAACTGTAATAGTTCGCTTAACAACCATAGCAATAAGAAAGGTCTCAAAAATCAGATGCCATTTACTTCAACAGTGGTCTTGTTTAGCAATGGAAATTCTGCTCCCAATATAAATGGAAGGCTACCCGGAGATACTGAAAAGTTTTTGAGTTTTTTACAAATGTATTCTTATTCTTAGAGAACGAACCACTGAAAAGAATGATACTGAACGTGACACTTAAGAGAGGCAATAAATTCCCTTTGGAGAGCAACAAAAAGCAACTTACACCAAACTGTCATGTTGTAAGAGTAGCACACTAGTAGTTTTGCAAACATCGTGCCACAAAAAACCACATTAACCTTTATAACTAACCCTGAGCCGCTTTCCAGAACTGAATTTGAAATGGATTGCTAGTGTAACAAAATAGCAACAGCACTTAGATTTATATACCGCTTCACAGTGCTTTTACAGCCCTCTCTAAGCGATTTACAGAGTCAGCCTGTTGCCCCCAACAATCTGGATCCTCATTTTATCCACCTTGGAAGGATGGAAAGCTGAGTCAATAGCACTTAGACTTATATACCGCTTCACAGTGCTTTACAGACCTCTCTAAGCGGTCTACAGAGTCAGCCTATTGCCCCCCAACAATCAGGGTCCTTGAGCCTAGTGAGATTCGAACTGCCAATTTCCTGTCAGCTGGCAATCAGCAGAATTAGCCTGCAATGCTGCATTCTAACCACTGTGCCACCACCAAAACTCCGGCCTACAGATCAGGAATATTCTAGAAGAATAATCACTGACCTCAGAAAAGTCCTAAACAAAGACCACTACAGATAGTCCTCGATTTATGACCACAGTTGACCCGCAAATTTCCATGGCTAAGCAAGATAGTTATTGGATTTTGCCCCATTTTGTGAACTTTCTTGCCACCGTCGTTAAGCGAACCATTGCAGTTGTTAAGTTAGTCGCTGTAGGTAAACCTGGCTTCCTCCTTGACTTTGCTTGTCAGGAGGTCGCCAAAGGGGATCCCCAAGACCCTGCAACCGTCATAAATAGGAGTCAGTTGCCAAGCATCTGAATTTTGATCACATGACTCTGGGGATGCTGCAATCAGTCAAAAGTGGGTTTTTTCAGTGCTGTTGCAACTTTGACCGGTCACTAAACAAGCAGTCGTAAATCAAGAGCTACCTGTACATATTATTCAGCCATTAATCAAGGATTATTGCAGGATTGTAATTGAAATCTGACTTTCAATCCAAAATCAACAGGAAAGCAATTTAACCCCATCTTCAATATTGGAATCATAATGAAAATGTTACAATGTTATTATTTTTTTTTAAAAAAAAAAAACTTTTTAATCTGAAATCATTCCTGATTTAAGTTAATTTCATTGATTATATTGTACACCGACCAGTGCCCCTCTCGGAGGGAGATGGGAAGGTAAAGAAATATGAAATATAAATAAATATTTTGGCATGGCAACAAAGCTTTAGCTTTTTTATCTTCTTTTTTTTTCTTTTTTTGTTTATTTATAAAAGATGTAATGGAAATTGTGAATTGAGCTTGTGAAAGGAATGTAAGCGTGGTAACCATCTATGACCGGATCGAGATTTTTGCTCTTGAAAGTTATGTTTTTATGTTTAAATTTGAAAAAATAAATAAAAAATATTTACAAAAAAAAAAAAAGCTTTAGCAGGGGGCAATTGGTTTGAACTTGGAGTACTCACTTCTAAAGATCTAAGTGCCTGAGCCCACTGTAACAAAATTGCCAAAAAGGCATTAAGAGTTGTTAACCTAATCTTGCGTAGCTTCTTCTCTGATAATGTTGTACTACTAACTAGAGCATACAAAACATTTGCTACACCAATTCTTGAATACAGCTCATCTGTCTGGAACCCGCACTGCATATCGGACATAAATACAATCGAGAGACTCCAGAGATATTTTACAAGAAGAGTCCTCCATTCCTCTAACCGCAATAAAATACCTTATGCCACCAGACTCCAAATTTTGGGCTTAGACAACTTAGAACTACGTCGACTTCAGTCTGACCTAAGTATAGTACATAAAATTATCTGCCACAATGTCCTTCCTGTTAATGACTACTTCAGCTTCAACCGCAATAATACACGAGCAAATAATAGATACAAACTCAAGGTAAACCGTTCCAAACTCGATTGCAGAAAATATGACTTCAGTAACAGAGTGGTCAATGCCTGGAATGCACTACCTGACTCTGTGGTTTCTTCTCCAAACCCCCAAAACTTTAACCTTAAACTGTCTACTGTTGACCTCACCCTATTCCTAAGAAGTCTGTAAGGGGCGGGCATAAGTGCACCTGCGTGCCTACCGTCCCTGTCCTAATATTCCGTTTTACTTACTCTTTTCATGTATTCAGATTATGTTTATACTTTTTATCTGTTATATTATATATGCTTGACAAATAAACTTATGATTATGATTATGATTAATGGAAGTATTTCAAGTTATTTTAAGTTATTTTGAGTCCTTCGGGAGAAGGGCGGTATAGAAATTCAATAAATAAATAAATAAATAAGTTGGGAAGTTGTTTGTAGGTACAATTGGGAGATTCTACACTGGAGACAAATTCTTTGTGTCTCCACTCACATTTGGCCAATAAAGATTTGGCCAATTCAACTTCGAAAAACCACTCTCGCTAGGATCTGTAGGTAGTCCTCAATGTACAACCACAACTCAGCTCAAAATTTCTGGGGGTCATTTGTTGAGTTTTGCCTCATTTTGTGACTTTTCTTGCCACCGTTATGCATTTATGCCTAGCACTACCGGTTGGGTTAGTCAGAGAGACGGTATTCTCCTTCCCCTTTCCTGGAATGCCATACAATTAGTCCTTGACTTACGACCAACATTTGAACCCAACATTTCTGTTGCTGAGACAGTCATTAAGCAGGTTTTGACCCATTTTAGGATCTTTCGTGCCATGGTTGTTAAGTGAATCATTGTTAAGCGAATCGTTGCAGTTGTTAAGTGAGTAGCACGGTTGTTAAGCGAATCCAGCTTCCCCTTTGACTTTGCTTTGTCAGGAGGTCGCAAAAGGGGATCATGTGACCCACACACACACAAATACACTGCGACCGTCATAAATATGAGTCGGTTGCCAAGCGTCTGACTATAAATCGGGTGACCCTGGGGATGCTGCAGACGTCGTAAAGTGGGAGCCTCTTTTTTTTCAGTGCCGCTGTAACTTTGAACGGTCACTAAACGAACCGTGGCTTAAGTGTGACAAGACTCCAGGAAGGGCTTCTCAAAAAGATGCTTGTGGAGGAGGAGAGGAACGTCTGGATGGCCTCCGTAGCCAGCAAAACCGAGGAGAGCAGAGAGCGCGTGCGCGAGTCCAAACTGACCGCAGCTGTCAGAAGGCGCGTGGCCCCTTTCGGGAAAGTCCTTTATTTCCCGCCGTTTGCCGCCTTTTTCTCGCGCCCAGCAGGTTGAACCCCCGCGACGAGGGAGGGGGGAAACCGGGGGGGGGGGTTGTGAGTGAGAGGCGTGGAAAAGCGCGGCTGAGGGAAAAGGGGCGGTGCCGAGGGAAAGTTTGGGAGCGCACGTGCGCTTCGGGAGCAGCCAGAGGTGGCTGAGGGAGAGGAGGAGGAGGAGAGAAAGAGGAAAGGGAGCAAAGGAGGATGAGGAAAGGGAGAGGAGAAAGAGGAGAGGAGAAAGAGGAGAGGAAGAGGAAGAGGAGGAAAGGAGAAGTAAAGCAGGAGGAGAGGGAGAGGAGGACAGGAGGGGTAAAGCAGAAGGAGAGGAGGAGGAAAGGAGAGTTAAAGCAGGAGGAGGGGAGGGAGAGGAAGAGGAGAGGAGGGAGAGGAAGAGGAGGAAGAGAGAGGTAAAGCAGGAGGAGGAGGAGAGAGGAGGAAGAGGAAAGAAGTAGACAAGGGAGAGGAGGAAGGGAAAGGGAAAGCAGGAGGAAAGGGAGAGGAGGAAGAGGAGGAAAGGAGAGAGAAAGCAGGAGGAAAGGAGGAGGAAGGGAGAGGTAAAGCAGGAGAGGAGAAAGAGGAAAGGAGTAGGCAAGGGAGAGGAGGAAGGGAAAGGTAAAGCAGGAGGAAAGGAGGAGGAAAGGAAGAGGAAGAAAGGTGAGAGAAAGCAGGAGGAGAGGAGGAAGAGGAAAGGAGTAGGCAAGGGAGAGGAGGAAGGGAAAGGTAAAGCAGGAGGAAAGCAGGAGGAAAGGGAGAGGGGGAAGAGGAAAGGAGTAGAGAAGGAGGAGGAAAGGAAAGGGAAAGCAGGAGGAAAGGGAGAGGAGGAAGAGGAGAAAAGGAGAGAGAAAGCAGGAGGAAAGGAGAAGGAAGGGAGAGGTAAAGCAGGAGAGGAGAAAGAGGAAAGGAGTAGGCAAGGGAGAGGAGGAAGGGAAAGGTAAAGCAGGAGAAAAGGAGGAGGAAAGGAAGAGGAAGAAAGGTGAGAGAAAGCAGGAGGAGAGGAGGAAGAGGAAAGGAGTAGGCAAGGGAGAGGAGGAAGAGGAGGAAGGGAAAGGTAAAGCAGGAGGAAAGGGAGAGGAAAGGGAGAGGAGGAGAAGGAAAGGAAGAAGAGAAAAGGAAAGGTAAAGCAGGAGGAGAGGGAGAAGAGGAAAGGAAAGGGAGAGGAGAGGAGAAGGAGGAGAGGCCAGGGCTCCCTCAGGGCAGAGCGGGGAGCCAAGCGCGGGCCGGGCGAAGGCACTTACTTGCGTCCCGTTCACCAGCCGCCCGGCCATGGCTGCGCTGCCTGCGCCCGGGGCAAAGGACGGCGGGGCTGTCGGAGCGGCCGGTGGGGCGGGGCGGGGCGAGGGGCGCGGCCGGCCGGCCAGCTGCAAGTGGCCTCCCGGCTGAAGCCCCTCCGGGATGCCGCTTCCTTGAAGGCGGTCAGCTGATCGCCAGGCGGAAGAGCCGCTGCCGGCGCTTAGGCGGGCTGCTTGCTCAGCCGGGCGGGCTCTGCGCTTCGCTGCGGGGCCAGGGGACCTTCCGGGTTTGGGGGAGCCCCGGGAAGAGGGGAGGGGGCTTGCCTCGGGGAGGGGGGGGGAGTTCCGTCCAGGCCCAGCCGGGGTGGGGTGAAGATGGGGGCGCCTGCCTCGTTTTTCTCCCCCCACCCCCCATTTTACACCTCCAAGACGCCTCTAAAACTTTTCAAAAGTTTTTTTGGCTGCCAATCAGAAGAAGAAAAAATGCCTGGGTGGTCGGCTGGCTGCTGGCCTTTGGTGCCCTTTCAATGAGGCAGCTAGTCCTCGACTTTACAACGGTTCGTTTAGTGACCGTTCAAAGTTACAACCGCGCTGAAAAAAGTGACTCAGGACTTTTGTTTTCGCACTTAGGAATGTTTTTCACACTTACAGCTGTTGCAGTATCCCCCAGGGTCACGTGATCAAAATTCAGATGCTCACCAACTGTTTCAGACTTACGACCATTGCTGTTTCTCAAGGTCAGGGGATCCCCTTTTGGGACCACCTGACAAGCAAAGTCAAGGGGGAAGCCAGATTCACTTAACAAACGGATTGCTAACTGATCAACTGCAGCGATTCGCTTAGCAACCGTGGCAAGAGAGGTCATAAAATGGGGGCAAAGCTCACTGAACAAATGTCTCAACCGCAGAAATTTTGGATTGGATTGGATTGTGGTTGTAAATTGAGGAGCATTGTATTGCAAAGAGGAAGACACACCTGGCGGCTTCTTTCTTTCAGACCCGTCTCAAGCTCACCTGCCAGAGGGCTCACAGTACACCTGTCCAAAGTACGAACTTTGTAAGAGCTCAGGAAACAGTGGTGGTGGTATCGGGCACAGTCTATGCCTATGATGACAAACCTATGGCACGCGTGGCAGAGTGGCACGCAGAGCCCTCTCTGGACATGCCCACTGGCCAGCTGCTCTCTTTCAGGTTCTGTTACACACATGAGCACCGGCCCCCAGCTGCTCTCTTCCGGATTCCGCGCATGCATGCGCACCAGCCAGCTGCTCTCTTCTGGAGTCTGTCACATGCATGCGCACCAGCCAGCTGCTCTCTTCTGGGTTCCGTTGCATGCATGCGCACCAGCCAGCTGCTCTCTTCTGGGTTCCGTTGCATGCATGCGCACCAGCCAGCTGCTCTCTTTTGGGGTCCATCACTTGCATGCGCACCAGCCAGCTGCTCTCTTCTGGGTTCCGTTGCATGCATGCACGCCAGCCAGCTGCTCTCTTCTGGGGTCCATTGCATGCATGCGCACCAGCCATTTGCTCTCTTCTGGGGTCCATCGCATGCATGCGCACCAGCCAGCTGCTCTCTTCCGGGTTCCGTTGCATGCATGCACGCCAGCCAGCTGCTCTCTTCTGGGGTCCATCACATGCATGGGCACCAGCCAGCTGCTCTCTTCTGGGTTCCGTCGCATGCATGCGCACCAGCCATTTGCTCTCTTCTGGGGTCCATCGCATGCATGCGCCACCAGCCAGCTGCTCTTCTGGGGTCCGTCACATGCATGCGCACCAGCCAGCTGCTCTCTTCCAGGGTCCCTCACATGCGCACCAGCCAGCTGCTCCTTCTAGGTTCCGTCACATGCATGCACACCAGCCAGCTGCTCTCTTCTGGGTCCGTCGCATGCATGCGCACCAGCCAGCTGGTCTCTTCTGGGGTCCATCACACACACACTCCAGTTTTGGCACTCAGTACCGAAAAGGTTAGCAGTCACTGGTCTATGGGGAGAGGAGGCTTGCAAAAGCCCTGAGCCAGGTTCTTCTGGCTTTCGCCACCCTACAGTAGGGAGCAGCCACAAGCCAGGGGTACTGAGAGAAAGGAGAAGGAGGAGAGGAAGAGTAAAAGTATTCCTGGAAGCCCAAATGGTTCCCTGGAATTCCCAGTCTGCTGATTGGCTGCCTTCCCTTGATGTCTGCTGCCTAACCTTGCCTGGGATTGGAAGCTAAGAAGGCTGAGTCCTGCTTTATAGATGGATCACCTCTTCTAAGACAGCATGTAGGTAGTCCTCGACTTACAACAGGTTGTTTAGTGACCGCAATGGCACTGAAAAAGGAATCGCACAACCGTTGCAGCATCCTCATGGTCACATGATCAGAATTTGGTCTGATTCCGCCCTGAGTCTTTGGAGAGGGGCAGCATATAAATTGAATTAAATTGAAATTGAATTGGTCGCTTGGCAAATGACACCTATTAATGACGGTTGCAGTGTCCCCGGGATCAGGTGATTCCCTTTTGTGACCACCTGACAAGCAAAGTCAATGGAGAAACCAGAATTACTTAACAGCCATGTTAGTAGCTTAACAACTGCAGTGACTCACTTAACAACTGTGGCAAGGAAGTTTGTAAAATGAGGCAAAACCCTCATTTCATAAATGCCTCAATTAGCAACAAATTTTGGGCTCAATTGGAGTCGTAGGTCAAGGACTATCTGAAGAAGTAGAAAAAGTGACAAAAAGTAGTTTCCCTAACTCTTATTAAGAAAATTAGCCACTAGTTTGATATAGTGTTTAAACCATGAGGCTAAAAACCAGGAGACTGAGTTCTAGTCCCGCCTTAGCCATGACAGCTAGCTGGGAAACTTTGAGCCAATCACCAGGAGACCGTGAGTTCTAGTCCCACCTTAGCCATGAAAGCTATCTGGGAAACTTTGTGCCAATCACTAGGAGACCGTGAGTTCTAGTTCCGCCCTAGCCATGAAAGCTAGCTCGGAAACTATGAGCCAATCATCAGGAAACTGTGAGTTCTAGTCCTGCCTTAGCCATGAAAGCTAGCTGAGAAACTATGAGCCAATCATTCAGGAGACTGTGAGTTCTAGTCCCAATGGCTATTGGCCATTCCCAAGATACCTTCTACCATATGTGGTGGATGTGTCCAGAAGCGCCGAAATTTTGGAGAACAATACAAAAATGGATTCAAGAAGTAATAGAGGAAAATATTAAACTGGAGCCAGAAATCTATCTCCTGGGAGTACTAAGAAGGGCATATGGGAAGAAGAAGAAATACTTAATCATAGACATCATTACAGCCACCAGATTAGTATATGCAAAACAATGGAAAGAGAAAGGAGGCCCAACAGAAGAACAGATAATTAGTAAAATATTAGAATGCGCTGAGATGTGTAGGTTAACATATATATTAAATGAGAATGAGGATTCAGAATTTTACACGGTATATGGGAAAGGTGATATAGGTGGTTAGAAAATAAAGGTAAATACTAATTTGAATTAAGAAAGACAGTATCAAACTATGTAACTTATATAGGTAAATAAGATGTATTATAACTAACAATGTAATAATTTATAAATACTTAATATCTAAATTCTAAACTATTTGTATAACTTTATTGTATACCACTTATACAATGTATATAGCATGTCTGCACGTAGCCAAACCGAAATTGTTAAATTGTAATAATTTTGTTTATTCAATAAAAAACTAGAAAGAAAGAAAGAAAGAAAGAAAGAAAGAAAGAAAGAAAGAAAGAAAGAAGAAAGAAAGCTAACTGGGAAACTTTGAGCCAATCACCAGGAGACTGTGAGTTCTAGTTCCGCCTTGGCTATGAAAGCTAGCTAGGAAACTTTGGGCTAGTCACTCACTGTAAACCCAACCCACCTCATAGGGTGATTGTGAGAAAAATAGGAGGAAGAGTATTATGTATGTTCGTCACCTTGAGTTATTTATAAAGTAATAAATGCAGAATAAAAATCAAATAAATAAACTACATGTACAGTCCCTGAAATGAAACCAGATTGAGCAAAATTGAACTTTTCCTCCTTTGGCATCTTCTTTCAAAACATAACCAAAGCTGTCTAAAAGGCCCCAGTTATGTAAAGATATCATGTTGCTCTCATGTGATACATTTTATTTATTTTTTTGCATGTGACAGGAGGGAAGAAACCATTGAAACTGACAACTGTTACAATCAAAACTTGTTTCGGTTTTGTCCATCAACAACCATCAATTCTCAACTAAGATAGTATCACCAACAGACTCTTTCACCAGTTTAAAATGTGTATCAGATCTCTATCTTTATCATTTGATTTCTGGCTAAGCCATAGTCTATTTGAATTTTAAGTAAAACAGGCCATTTCGTTACAACCCTATGGAATCTGCACCTGATTTTCTCCATTTATATGAATCGCATCTCCTGAACTGTTACCATTTTAGCAGGTCTTTTAAGAGGAAAGGTGAGTTGATGGCTTTGTTGTTGCCTCTCATAGGATCCAAGTGGAATTTTTAGGTACATCCAGATGCCTGTAGTTGTGAAATATTAGTTTTCAGAACCAACTAAAAAGTATCCTAGATGCCTTGATAATCCAGCAAGAAGATAATGTGATACCACCACCTCCCAGAAAGCAAGCAGGTCTGGGTTTTGTTACATTTGGATGAAGATTAGGGGAAATGTCCATAAATTTGCATTACCTTGCAGAAGAAGAAAAACTGTTATAAAGGAAATAAAAAATAATTTATTAATCTACCTTGTCTATAACTGTTTTACATTATAAACAGACTGTAATTTGCCTTTAATTAGTCCTTGATTGTTCAACATATTCAATAGAAATCATTTTTTTTTTGTTTTTCTGGGAGATAAATCTGTATAATACCCTAGATAGTTTCAAGTATTATTATATGTATATGAAATCTTATTCTGTTCACCGCCCTGAGTCCTTCGGGAGAAGGGCGGTATAGAAATTCAATAAATAATAATAATAATAAAGTAAGGCCTCCGATTTCTCAGACTATAAATAAAGAGTTTATTATAAATACACAGGACTCCTTAGAAGCAGTGCAAACATTT